TACCCTAATGAACATTATAAGTAAAAGCGGAGCAAAAACCGAAGTAAAGAGCTTTAAAACTAAATACTCATTCTCCCATTGCGTAGACGATGAAAAACGAAATCAAAAGCTCGAAACTTGAAAGAAACCGAAGTCGCCGGAAAATCTCCCGAAAAATAGCATAAGCTCCTAATCTAGAGAGCAAAAATAAACATAAGCTAATTTCCCAAAGTGGGAAAAGTGAAAAATAAGAGATGGATATCCAAAATACAAAGAAAAAAATATATTTATAGTCTTCTACAAAAACACACACTAGGTGCACACACATTTAAAAATTTAGCACTCGCTAGGTAGCGAACTAGTTCGCCTAGCGAACTAGTTCGCTAGGCGAACTGGTCTTGTAGTCTTGTGCACACTCGTTAGGCGGCGAACTCGTTCGCTATGCGCACTGGCCCTATAAGTCTTGTGAACACTCGCTATGCGGCGAATACGTTCGCTAGGTGAACTAGACTTTCGGCACGGTAATGACTCGACAACGGCTCGGGCGACTCGGGCGACTCGGGCGACTCGGTCGACTCGGGCGACTCGGTCGGCTTGGACGGCACATCACAAAATGACTATTTCTTCCTTCTGGGCCTACAAAACACCAAAACGCACAAGGAAGATAGAAAAATATACAAAAAAAATCTCAAAATAGAAAGCTACTAAAACGAACACAAAATGGACCGGAACGCACAAACCGAACCTAAAAATACTCGACTCAAGCCTATAAAAACACAAGAAAAACACACAAAAATATAACAAACATTGATCAGTTCAAACAAGTCATCTCTGTCTCTATCATTTTTCCTCAGGTTCTTCCGGTTGTTGATCTCTGCCTGGCCCTCGACCCCCTCATTGCTTTGGGGATTCGATTCCTAGAAACTTTGGATATTTATGATGTTGAAAAACTCCTTCACGTGGTTCTATTACAGTGTTCCTGAAAGAGAACCTTTCCGGGGCTTACACTAAAAAGTTGATAATTGTAGAGAAAGTTGAAATGTAAAAATAAGTGCAAGAAGTTGATCTACGACTAGAATTCGACAAACCCGCGACTGACAGAACTATACGCTCAATTCTCTGCATATTCGTCGCATACTTAATCACATAATTTTATGCACATTTTCAGTGAACTTCTTCTATGGTTCGCATAGTTTATCGTATAATATGAACACACTTGCTCAGTTATCTTCTGCTTTCTATTGCATAATTTATCGTATAATTATTCTGCACTTGCTCAAATACACCTCTCTGTAGCGTAGTAGTTTATCCAATAGTGGATTGCACTTGCTTGATTGTCTTTGAATGTTTGTCGCATAATGATTTTGCACTTGATAAATTAATTTCATCTGTATATAGTGTAGTTTATCAACTAATTATTTACTTTATCAAATAAACTTCATCTATTTGTCTTGTAGTTTAATGCATAACGACATCGGATTTACTCGATTATCTTTGTCTATCTGACTGTCATATAGTTTATCGCAAAATTGTTTCGCGCTTTATCAATTATCATCGTCTGTCTGTCGCTTTGCTAATCGCATATTTGTTTAACACTTGCTCAATTAATTTGCTTGTTTGTCGTGTTTATTGCATAATGAGATTGTACTTGCTCGATTAACTCCACATGTCTTTTTGCATGGTATATCCTATAATTTTTTTATACTTTATGAATTATCTTTGTTTGTATAACGCATAGTTGATCGCATAAATATTTCACACTTTATCATTTATTTTCGTCTGTTTGTGACGTAGTTTATGGCATAAGTACTTCGCACTTTATAAACTATCTTCTTTTGTCAGTCGCGTAGCTTATCGCATAACTATTTCGCACTTTATAAATTATCTTTACACGTCTACCGCATAGTGTATCACATAATTTCTTTCGCACTTTATCAATTATCATCGTCTGTATGTCACAATGTTGATCGTATAAGTAATTCACACTTTGGAATTAACATCGTCTGTCTGTTGCATACTTTATCGCATAATTTTTTTCGCACTTGCTCAATGAACTTCGCATGTCTGTCTCATAGTATATCACATAAATACTTCGCACTTTATAAATTATCTGCATCTATTTGCCGCATAGTTACTTGCATAAATACTTCGCACTTTATAAATTATCTTCGCAAGTCTGTCGTGTGGTTTATCGCATAACTATTTTGTACATTATAAATTATTTTAGTTTGTATGTCCCATAGCTTGTTGAATAATTTGCAATTTATCAATTATCTTCGTCTGTCTGCCGCATAGTTTATCGCATCATTTTTTTTTTGCACTTTATCATTTATCTTCGTATGTCTGTCACATAGTTGATCGCATAAGTTTCACACTTGCTCAATTAACTTCGCTTATATGTTGCATACTTTATCATATAATTTATTTTGCACTTGCTCAATGAACTTTGTTTGTCTGCCGCATAGTTTATCGCATAACTGTTTTGCAGTTTACAAATTATCTTCGTCTGGATGCCCCATAGCTTATCGCATAAATCTATCACACTTTATCAATTATCTTTGTCTGTCTGGCGCGTACTTTATAGCATAACTATTTCGCATTTGATAAATTATCTTCGTTTGTATATCGCATATATATTTTGAATTTTATAAATTATATTCATATATCTGTTCCATCGCACAACTATTTCACAGTTGATAAATTATTTTCGTATGTCTGTCACATAGCTTATCGCATAAATATTTTGGGCTTTATCAAGCATGTCTGTTGCATAATTTATTTTGGACTTTAACAATTATCTTCGCATAGTTTATCACACATAATTTGTTATGCACTTTGTGCGATGAAAAGTGAATTTATTATGTGATGGTGTGTCCATTTGTAAATAACTATTTCCTCAAATTTTTATATTTTTAAAATATCCTATGTAAATATAAAGTTTATAAAGGTAACATTTTTCAAGCATGCGTGATAATTAAGTTGCATTGTACAGCTTGTTAGACTTAAACGAAAAAAGCCTTAATTTTCCCTTTCTCTCCATTTTTTTCTTCCTGGTGCCTTCCTCAGCGATGGTTGGGCCTTGCCGGCGGCCGACCCTTGGCCACACGACCTTCATCTCGTTGATTGCGCCTCCTCGTGTCCGTTAGCGCTAGTGGTTGCGGACGGTCTTCCGTGGTCGGTCTTCGTTGTTCTTTTAGGTGTCGGTTTGGGGTCTCTGGTCGTCGGCTTCAATGCAACTACGGTGGCGCTGGATGGGGTGCGATACAAGGGGTCTGTTCGTGGCGCGGACTGCTCGTGACGTTTGAGTTGGAGTGGTCGGGGCTGAGGTGTCTTTTTTACCCCATTTTCCCCTGGTCGGGGCTGAGGTGTCTTTTTTACCCCATTTTCCCATGTTTCTCTAGTGTTGGGTTCGTGGGAGACCGGTACTGCCGTATTTTGCTAGTGGTGTTGGCCAGTTCGAGGCAATGGTGGTGTGCACAGTTTTGGGTTCCTCCGGCGAGGGGACTACTCGGCTTAGACGGTTCGGCAGTTTCGAGAGTGGCTTCTCGGGCTACGAACTTCTCCCAGGGGTCGATTAATTGTTGTATTTCTCCTAGGGGTTGTTGTCCGCATGCTCTATTCGATCGATTTGCTGAGGAATGACTCATTTGTTTAGTTGTTTTTGTTTCGTTTTTTTTGTTATGTCTATTTGTTTGTTTTGTTTGGTAAGGGTTGTGTTTTTTGTTTGAACCTTTGGCCTTTGTTTGTTCCCGAGTGAAATAGGATATTTTATCCCAGTTGAATTATTGATACTCCTATCTTAGAGCTTTGGAGTGTTTGTTGTTGGGTTGTGAGTGTGTTGGGTTTAGGCTCTAGCCGATCTTCGAATTTGTCCTCCTAGTTTTTTAGCTATCGATTGTATCTTTCAGCTCTATTTACACCTTTGTGCGTTTTATAAAACATCCTCCGTTTCGAAAAAAAAAGCATGTGTAATAACATTTAGTGCTTTATAATTCTATATACAATTTATGACTCTAAAATACAATATTTAAATCATTTCAAAAAACACCGATTTCAGCTAAACCCTTCTCTCTCTAAAATTGTAGATCCCCTTTTTGCTTCATTGACCGAAATCCATTTGGCGCCGCGGAGCCCTCCCGTCGGCATTCTTCGCGGCGACCCCAACCGATTTCAGGTCAGCGGAGGAGAACTAGCGTCCTGACGGGCACTCTCCTGGCGTGCGGCGCTCCATTTCTCCGGTGGCCATGGCAGGTGAGTGGAGATGTCCGGCGAGGTGCGGGTTCTTCCTAGGCCAACGGTTCCGAGTGCTAATCTGACGGCTCGTTGGGGCCAGAGTCTCGCGGCAAACGCATATCTGGGTCTGCCCGATTTCTGGTGCTGGAATCGACGGGGCTTCATCGATTTTCGGTGAGTGAGTGGTGCGTGTTGTTGGGAGATACCTGAAGGTGACGATGGTTTTGCCATCGGAAGGGTTTGTTGTATTCAGGCGAGTTCTAATTAGCCGACTTTGGCCTAGAATTTTATGTTTCGTGTCCGATGTCATGGTCTTTGAGCTTGGGGTTGCCTTTGAGCTGGCGGGCAGAGATTATTCTAACATATTCATTGTGTTTTTAGTTTTTGCGTTGTGGAATCGACCGTTTCGATTCATAGAGGCGGGGGTTGTTGTGTGGTGTGTATTTTCTCTTTGGAAACTGTATTCTCCTATTAGGAACATAATTCTCCTGTTGGGACCTTGTGAGTGTGTTGTGTCTATTCGTATAGGCTACCATTCGGGTTGGTCTCCCAAAGATTCCAACTGTTCAGCTGCTCGATTGTAAATATGTGTTATATTTATAAGATTATTTGAAAAAAAAAATATTTAAATCATTTCACAAACTGCTGAAAATTGAAAAGAAGAACGAAATTCCCCCAAATCCATAGTATCCATAGCTCAAAGTTAGTTTCATACATTATAAAGTTTCTCAACGTATTTACCCATAAGACCCAAATTGAGAGAGAACAAAAACAAAGGGGGCTCAAAATCAGAAATTCCACACAGGCGATGTATCAAACAACACGCCGCCTCTGACGCCGTCGTTAGCTCCTCCGCCGTCTGCCGCCAAGTAGCTCTCAACAACAGAAGAAGACTCCGTCCCCGCCGCCTCACCGGAGAACACATCCTCCCCCGCGGGGGCCTCCGGCTGCTTGCCTCCAGATCCGGCGGCCGCCATTTTCCGGGCGTGGTTCGAGGCCGCCGCCTGGATCTCCGACGGCGACAGCCCCTCCGCGGAGATTATGTCCGGCGGGTCGTCCGGGAAGTTGAGTACCGCAGAGCGGCCGCGGAGGCAGAAGGCGGCGGCGTCGTAGGCCCTGGCGGCCTGCTCGGCCGTGTCGTAGGAGCCGAGCCATATACGGGCGCGGCTGTGAGGCTGGCGGACCTCCGCCACCCACTTGCCCCATTTCCTCATCCTCACGCCCTTGTACCGACGATCGGATCTCAGTGGCTGAAGCCTCACCATTTTCGTAAGAATTTTAATATTTTCCTCGACAATTTTGCCCTAATTTTTTTCCCCATTTTGCCTCTGAGTTTTGAAAATTATATTTGAAGAGCAGCGGGCTTGGGACACGTGGGACGGCTCACAGGCGCCACGCAAACGATGCGCAGGTTATAGTCTAAGGTAATGAGCAGGGAGTGGGGACAGGTGTTAACGGCGATGAGGTTGGTCTGCCGCTTAATATGGCTACGTGTCTTCAATCCAAGTGCCTTGCTGGTGACTCCTCTCGTCTAATATTTATTTTATTTTTTTCGCACTTTTGTCATGAAGACACCAGTTGACTCTAAAGTGAATTAATCTTTTACATACAATAAATAAATCTACTATATTAATAAAATTATATTAATATTAATTAAGTAATAAGAGAATATGGTAAATTTACTTGTTGTATATATAAGGTTGACTCCACTATGGAGTCAACGGTTGGCTTCATGCAAAACCGTTTTTTTTTTAAACCATAGAATTTATTATTAAAACACGTACTTACAATCAAGGCCTACCAAAGGTAATCTAAATGCTACAATACAACATAAAAAAATAAAACTCCCTATAATAGGCGAATACCCACTCCCCAACGGGAGAATCGACACTCTTAAAACGGAGATTAGGTTTCACTTATTTCGAGCCACTTCGTGGATTTGGGATAATGAGCCCGGGAAACCGGTCTAGGGAACTCGAGAAAACCCCTCGAGGTTAGACCTAGATAATCATTGTCCGAAAACCTTGTTTGGAAAAAGTAACTTACATAATGAGCTCGTGAGAGTTGGAAGGATTAGACTCCACTTGGTTCGGTTGGTTTTTTAGGCAAATCAAACCAATGAGTATGGGAAACCAGCTTAGGAGACTCGGGGACAACCCCCGAGGATAAACCTAAGTAATAATCGTCCCAACGGCTCTCATTCAGAAAAATTAACTCATTAAAAAAATATTATCTAATAAGAAAAGGGAGTTGGCTTATGGTCTCATTTGTATTCGTTTATGTCTTTTAGACCTCATTTAGCTGTTTGCACATTTATGTATTGGAAGGGGCATTGATCGAGTAAACCATGTGTAGGATGACTTGGGATGAGTTTTTGTTTCGTATGAGTTTATTTTGTGGGGAACATGTTTTCGAATCTGAGTTCGATTCTATGATTACCGGAGGATAAGGAGAGTTTCATAATCGCATGATTGTTAACCTTGGACCATTCGATATTGCTCTTCGAGCTATTTATTATTCGGTTTGCTTGAGGACAAGCAAAAAGCTAATTGTGGGGGAGTTGTTTGTTATGTTTTTGTGCTTATTTTTATGTGTTTTATGTGTTTTAGTTTAGTGTTTTTAGGTTCATTTTAGTGTCGACCGGTCCATTTTATCGTGTTTCGTTCATTTTTATTCTCGTATTGTATTTTTGTGTTTTGGCGTACTTTTCTTGTCTCTTTGGTGTTGTTTAGGTCCACATTATTCGATCTTGGGAAGACGAGCCATTTCTGAGACATTATCGAGTCGTCCAAACCATGTTCGAGCCA